ACAAGCACAGGGACACCAAGGATTGCCAGGTGCCACCAGATGCTAGGAAGTGGCATGAAACACATTATCTCCAGAAGAAACAAACCTACTAACACTTTGATTTTGGATTTCTGGCCTCCTAAACTGTGAGAGAATAAATTTCTGGTGCTTTAAGCCACTCAGTTTGTGGTAATTTGTCATGGCAGCTCTAGGAAACTAGCACAGTGCTCCAGGGAGGGGCCCTGAAGGGAAAGCCTCTCTGGCATGTTTGGGGCAACACCAGCTGGCCGGTGTGGCAGAGTCACGGCGAGTGAGGGGAGCGAGTGGTGAGAGCTGACCGAAAGATGTCAGAAGTTTTGGGGGTCAGGTCAGGGAGGGCTGCCCTGGTGACCAGCCTTTGACAAGGGGAGGGTCCTGGCTGGAAAAGGATGCAGTGGGCGGGTGTGGTTGGCTCCCATGCTCTTTTTCCTTTGATGTTGTGCCTTTGAGGTTGCTAATCAACTGGCTTTAAAATAAAGAGATTGTCCTGGATTATCTGGGTGGGGCCCATAGAATCACAGAGGCCCTTAAAAATGGAAGAAGGCAGAGGAGTCAGTGAGGGAGATTCAGCCGAAGAGGAAAGCAGAGAGAAGATTCAAAATATGAGGAGTCGCTAACTTTGAAGACAGGCAGGGGGCCACAAGCCAGGGAATGCGAGTGGCTTCTGGATGCTACGAATGACCCTGAAGTGACAGGCACCAAGGAAATAGGGACCCCAGTTCTACAACTGCAAGAAACTGAATTCCGCCAACAATATGAATGAGCAAGGAAACGGATTCTCCCCTAGAGCATCGAGGCACTCTGGATGTGACACCTTGACTTCACCCTCGTGAGATCCGTGTTTGATGTGTGACCTATAGAACCGTAGGATAACACATCTGCATTGTTTTAAGCTGCTAAATTTGTGGCAATTTGTTATGACAGCCATAGAATACTAATACAGGAGATAAAGAGGTGAGGTGCACAGAGAGCAGGAGATCCAGAAGGAGGGAGACTGGGTCAGTAAAAAGAAAGCTGACTCCGGCGGCCTTCTGGGGGAGAAGCCCACTGAGAGCCATCACCATGATGTCCACAGCTCCCCAGACACCCCTGCTTTCCCTGTGCAACAGTGTCCTCCAGACCCCTTGTTGCCCCAGTACTGACTAAGCCTGCTCAGGATGTCCCCAGGGCTTAGGCTCTAAGTCCTCAGGTCAGGCTAAGGAGCAAACCCAGGGGAGATCCCTCCCATTCTGAGAAATGTCACAACACCTCCCCTTGACCCCCTCTCCCATACGGCTGGTAAGACTAGTCCTGGAACAACCGAGCCAGGCATCACTGGTGCTACTGCTGCATCTGCTGGTCACACCTCCCTTAAGGCTGGGTCTGGGCTCTGACTTCTCTCCAGAGTAGCTCCGTACACATGCGCGCACACACACACTCACACACGCACACGCACACACAGGCATGCACCCTGGTTTTCTGTCCGCTCTTTGCCACAGTCTCCTGTTCACTCAAGTCTCCATGTCAAAGAGAATCAACCTGCTGATAGCTAACAGGTGTTGAGCACTAACTGAAATTAGGCCCCACTCTAAGTGCTCTATTCATATGATCTCATTTAATCTTCTCAGCTATCCTATCAGGTGGAGACCACTGACTCAGAGAGGTCAGGCTCCTTGCCTAATATCACACAACAGGTGTGACTGGTAAATCCAGGATTGGAAGCTTGGATGTCCAAAAGCCTAGGCTCAGACCCTCACTATTCAAGGTGTGGGCCATGGACCAGCTAATCCTCTCAGCTATCCTATCAGGTGGAGACCACTGACTCAGAGAGGTCAGGCTCCTTGCCTAATATCACACAACAGGTGTGACTGGTAAATCCAGGATTGGAAGCTTGGATGTCCAAAAGCCTAGGCTCAGACCCTCACTATTCAAGGTGTGGGCCATGGACCGGCAGCATCAGCACCACCTGAGACCTGGCGCTCAGTCCAAACCTGACAAATCAAAAGCTGTGTGTTAAGTTCCCAGGCAATTCACATGCCACAGCAGTTTGAGAAGCATTAGTATCAAGCACCGTTTTCCAAGGCCTGTCGTAACCACCTCCTTCTGCAATCTCTCAAGGCCCTTCCCCAGCAGCCTGGCTCTTGCTTCCAGGTGGGGAGGCCCTCTGCCCAGCCTTGGAGAACAAACCTGGACCTGGGGCTCAGAAGACATCTCCAAGCCCCTGCAGTCAGCCCTGTGGCAGCTCAACAACATCATCCACATCTGACTCTCTGTAGGGTGTGCTGTTTGCTGCCGGAGACTCTTCTGGCCCCTCCCTCTCATCCTCCTCTGGGACACAAGTCTCTTGGCCTCTGTCTAGTGCTCTTCTACAGGAGGCCTCTGGCCATCACCAATCCCTGCAGTGTCTCCCCTTCCTGGACGTTTTGCACTCCCCTCTCACTCCTAGAATGCCCCTGAGTCATGTCACTCCCTCTAGCTGGACACCAAGGGCCTGTCCAAGTTGCCATCAGGAGAGAGGCCAGCGGCTGCTTGGGAAACCTGGCTAGGCTCACAGGAAATGTCTGACACCACCAGGCAAGTGGGATTTGGCCTCCCAAAGTAAAACAAAGCTGGGCCACTCTGACTTTCCCAGATTTCATGGCATTGAGGTCCCAGGGCAGGGAAAGACTGGGCTGGCCTGGAGGCTGCAGCTCATTAAAAACATCACAGTAGCCCCTGGCCAGGGAAGTCTGTGAAGCTCAAAGAGGACAGCCCACAGCAGGGCCGGAGACGGCCCACCCCAGGGCCTTCCCTCTCCAGTGCCTTCTGAGCCTGTGAAACCTTCACTTGGAGATCAAAGCCCTCCATAGTTCATCCTCCTTCCTTCCAGCCTCCTCCTCTCAAGCCTCATTCATTTCTTCATTCGACTCTGTTGTCTGAGCACCTACAGTGTGCCAGGCACTGTGTTAGATACCAGGGCCACATTCGTGAAGGAGCAGGACACGGTTCCTGCTCTTGGGAGCTCCTGGTCCAGTGAGCAAATAAACAGACCATCCCAAGGCAGAGTGAAAAGTGCTACACTTCCTCCTGAGCAACAGGGGGCCATACCCTCAGTTCTGGGCTCAGGGTGAGGGTTCAATGCCAACTCTGCGGTTTGGACCAAGTGGTGAGTACAAATGTAGACTGAATACAAATGCAGATTGAGTGCTTTCTGTAAGCTAGGCCTGGGGGAGGAGGTGTGGGAAAATCCAGAGTGTGAGACAAGTCACGGTCTTCCAGGGCGCAGGCCACGTGGTCTGATCGCAGATGCAGGCATGTGTGCCTAGCGTGTGTGGCAGGAGGTCGGAGAGCTGGGTGGAAGTGGTGGGGGGCGCGTTTTGGAGGAAGTGGGAGTGGGTCTTGCAGAGTGTGAGGAGCAGGAGGGGGTGAGTCAGACAGCACTGACTCAAGGATCAAGAGCAGAATGACCCGCTGAGCAACCACCCCCAACATTCATATGCACGTGCACGCGCACACGCACACACACGCACACACACCCACACACACACGAGATCAGTGCATTAATAAAATGAATGAGTCACACAAACCAAAAGAGAGCTTGCAAGGGGGAAGCCCAGATAGAAGGACTTTGCTTCCACACTGTACCTGGCCGGTCCTGGAACTGGCATCCCTGAGGCCCCACCAGTTGCCTTCACACCAGGCCCACCCACCTTGGACCCACAGCCAAGACCAATCAGGACAAAGCTCAGGTCCTGACCACCTGCTCACAGCCAAATCCAGGCCTTTCTCCTGCCCCTGTGTTGTCTACTTGGCAGCTTAGCTCTGTCCCTCTCTCTGACCCAGCATCCCTGGGCCTTGGCCTAAAGGTTTGGCTCTTCTGATTTTGATGTAGGAGCTCCCGAGGCCTCGACGTGAGTTCATCCTTCAGCTCTTCCTGCTCCTGGCTGCCTTTGGAAACCACCTGCTTGGGTAGTTGGGCCCTGGAACCCTAACTTACTGAGACCCTGGTCAGCCCGGCCCCCTCTTCAGAGTTGCTGGACAATCTCAAGCTCCTTTCCTTTCTCTCCTGAGCTTTCTGGCTGGGGATTCCAAGGTCAGCTTCCTCTCCCTGGTTCCTCTGGCCTCCGAGAGGGCAAATCTTTTCCCCCCTTAGTTCAGCAAGTCAAGGTTGCAACATTTCACAAAGAACTTCCTAAGTAGGAAGTGAATGGAAAAACTAACCTGAAAAACCAAAAGGAAAACACAGCCCCCTAGAAATGGACCAGTTTACAAAGTTCAGATTTCCTGTCCTGAGCTAGAAAACGTCTAGCCAGGTTGGTTGGCAAGCTGGCCAGGGAATCCTGCCCGTGAACACTTCTTTTGCCCACTTTTTCTTCTACTCCCTTCCCCGACATGCTCCTTCTCTCCCCCTCCAAGGAGAGAGGCTAGCACTAGGTGGTGAGTGAACTGAAGGGTTTTTTTTTTTTCCGGCAGAAGAGTCCCTGCATTGCAGAGACCACAGGCAGAGAAGGAGGAGGAGAGACGTTTATAAAGAGTTTACTATGAGCCAGGCACTGTTCTAAGCACTTTCCTTATATTAACTAACCTAATCCTTACAACAATTCCATGATTGTGCTTATCATCATTGCCTCAACCTATTGATAAGGAATCAGAGAGGTGAGTAACTTCTTCCAGGTCATCCACCTAGGAATGGCAATGCCAGAACTAGAAACAAGAGAGCCTGGTCCAGGGGACATGCCCTCCTCAGCTTTCTCCCAGGATCTGGAGAGTAAAGAGTTTACCTGCCACCTCCCCACTGTGCTGTCCACTCCACCCTGGCAAAAGCCTGAGTCACCCCCAGCACCTGTTCTCCTACTCTTGACACCTCTGGTGGGGCAGGGAAGGGAGAGGACAGTGGGAAGGAGGGAAGAAAGGACAATTCTGTCTTTCTCTATCACATCTTCACCAAACGGTCCTAAGAAAGAAGTCCCTCCAGAAAGAAACTGTGTCCCTGGACCTGAGGTCCCACTGCGGAGGGGACTTACCTGGCCTGTGGTGCCAGTGGCTGCGTTCTGGCCACAGTGCTCTCTCTGGCTGGGCTGCTCCTCCGCAGGTTGGGTGAACCCTCTACTGAACGTCGAGGTGCTGGCCTGGAGTTCTGGGGGTCAAATTCCTCCTCGGGGATGACCTCCTCACAGCGGACTCCGCGGAAGCCAGAGCGGCACACGCAGAGCTGGGGCCGGCTGCAGGAGCCCCGATTCTGGCACGGTGGCTGGCACACGGCTGGGGAGACAGGGCGGGGGGTGAGGGCAGGGGCCAGGGGGCCCTGACACCCACCTATTAGAAGGGCCTCCCGCCTTGCGCTGCTTGGCCTTCCTCTGCTCAAGCAGGAAGCTAACTGCTGGCCTCAGAAGGCTCCTTGGGCCCATTTCTCTCTTCCCTCCACCTACAGGCCTTCAGGCAAGGTTTGCCTATCATCTTTGGACCACCAGTCAAAGACTGAATGAGCAGAGGTGTGGAGCTGCTCACACCACCAGTTCCAGCAGAACCTCCTGATATTGTGTTATGCACTTACGAGTCAGCTTTTTGTTGTCTGTCTCTCTATAAGACTAGAAGTTCCATGAGGATGATGTTCAGATATTTTGTTTTATTCTCTCCTGTACCCCAGAACTTGGAATAGAGACTGTCACAGAGTAGATTCTCAATTATTGCTGAATGAATGAAGGAAGAGTGAATGAGTCCCTTTTTCTAGAAAAGGCTCAACACTGGTCTGAAAGTTGGGAGTTTGAGTTGTTGGGGGGGGTTTCTGTCCAGTCTCTCCTCTTCCTTCTCTTCTCAAAGCTCCTGCTCGGAAGCTTGCACGTGGTGGGACTCCTGACCGGGAGTTGGAAGGATTCCGCTCCCTGGGCCCTGGGTCTAGCCTGAGGGCAAAGTGAGGCTGGAACTGGACTCCTTGCTCCAAGCTGGCACTGTGCAGCAGCCATCAGGCATGGGGGCCATGATTTCTTCTCTCTTCACTGCCCTTCATCACCTTGCAAAATCTGGAGCCACCTCCAGTGGCCAGCGGCATAGGGAGGGTCACATTGGAATATGGGGTTCTGCCCCACTTCTCCCAAGGCCTTCCCTGAGGAACAGGTAGGAACCCAGGACAGCACCCTCTAAACCCAAAGTCTCCTCCATCTGTCACTCATTCATTCAACAAATATTTGCTGAGCCCCTACGGTGTGCTAGGCACTAGGAACAAAGTCTTTGACCACATGGAGCTTGAAGTTGAGTGGGGAAGACAAGTAAGAAACAAGAAAACAATAGCATAATGTTGTTTCAGGCAGTATCATGGGCTGTGAAGACAATTAAACAGGGTGATGTAGTGGTCTGGCCAACCAGGCACTTGAGACAGGGTGGTCAGGGCAGGCCTCTCTGCAGAGTGAGGTGTGACAGGTGCAAAGGAGGTGGAGGGACAAAGATCTAGGCAGGCTCTTCCAGGCAGAGGGATGGGTAAGTGCAAAGGTCTGAAGGCTGGAAGGAACATAGCATGTTCCAGGAGGTGCTAGCAGTCCAGGGAAGCTGGGGTCTGGTGATAGACAGCGAGAGTATGTGAAGTCAGTGAGGAAAGCAGAGGCAGAATACGCAGCCCCCACCTGACTACCCACCAGCTCCTGTCACTACCACCACCAGAGACCAGCCCCACAGGGAAACCAGGGCCAGCAGACACTGGGGAAGGAGATATGCCCAGGTCAGATCTCTGTCCTGGTTTATTTTAGGGAGGGAGTAAACTGGGAAGGCTTGAGTGGTTTTCCATGTGGACCACAAACACTATATCCCTCCTAGTCCCTCAAACCCACATCTCTCTGCTGACAGAGACCCAAAGCTTGGAGTGGGTGACAGAAAGGTCATGCAGCTTCTCCCGGTCTAGGTGTTGCTTCCTTATCTGAGTGGGTGGTCCTTTCCTTTAAGATGGCCTTTTGAAACCAATCTAACTTTCATCCCTCCCTTCCTGGACCCCGGGGATGGCCCATCCTTGACTGTAACAGTAAGATCTTCCACTATCTAAAACCTATGGTCCTACATTCCTGTGCCTCATGGTGACTTGCTTACTTCTGGTTCTGCCTTGTTGCTAATACAGTCCATCAACACTTAATGAGCACCTTCTCTTGGTCAGACTGGATGCCAGGGATTCAAAGACAATAAGGCTGGACTCCACGTGGAGGAAGCTCTGCCCAGAGGTGGGTTCTCATACCCACAGAAGCCCCTTGCCACACAGGAAGTTAGATTCTAAACGCAGACAAGGTTTGGCAAGCTTTGGTTGGTACAATGTATAACTTACGGAAAATGGGTGGTTAGGTGGAGAAACTATAAAAACAGCATTTATATATGCATATAACATCATGGTAAATAAAAATTCTAAAAGGTTTCCAAACCAGCCAGATTTGTTGGCGGAAAAAACCTACTCGGGAAGATAACCTTTCTGGATCAACCACTTACAAAACTGTGCAGAGGCCAGATCTGCTAAGAAAAATTTTCCAGCAAGTTTCAGGGTTTCAGAGGTGGTGAGCCAGCCCTCACCGACTTCATCTGCATCTGCTCTTGTATTGTTTTCACAAGTCTCAGCAAGAAGTGACTTCCTCACTAAAGTGTTTAAGCAGTTTTGTTCTGAGCTGAGCCTCAGCATTATGGGATTGGAGCACAAACTCCTGTCCTCTCTCTCCATTCCCCCCAAAGTCACCCCCAAATGGCCCCAAATGGTGGCTCTAAATATCTGTCTATGAAAGATACATTCTTATGACAATTTTTACTAGTCTGCCAAAAAATAAGAAAAATAAAAAGTTTCTTGAGTTCTTTGTAATCCTATTTTTTTTCCATTTAAAAAGTGTCTTTTAGTCTACGGCCATGCTACCCTGAGCAAGCCAGATCCTGTCTGATCTCAGAAGCTAAGCAGGGTCGGGCCTGGTTAGCTCTTGGATGGGAGACCACTTAGGAAGACCAGGTGCTATAGGTGTAAAAATAAAAAAATAAGGGAATGTAAGCTGACGAGGTCCTTGCAATCTGTGAGGTCAACCAAGCGTCGCCTCGCCTAAAAAATTAAATAATAAAAATTATCTTTTATTTTGAGATTCTCTTTTTTACTTGTTTGGTGTTAAAATGGTCTTTATTTTAATTAAAGGTGATGGCAAATGGTAGTTTGTTTTTCTAACACCCTCATTTGGCAAAAGGGAAAGCTGGCACTGTACTTTGGTGCCTAAGATGTTTTCAGATATTTTGCTGGTGCATGCAATCCAAAAGTTTGGAACCCTTTGGGAAGTAGGAGGCAATAGTGATCATGTGTCTTTTTATTTAAAGGAGACTAAAGCAAAACACTCTTTTGTCAAATGAGCACCGGTTTCAAAATTGAAGTATCTAAAGGAAATCAGCCATCTCAGGATGGCCCGTGGCAGAGGCTGTCACATAAAGCAAAGAAGGAAACATGGAGGATCCAGGAGAGGCGGTTCCATGCAGCACTGTGGGAATTTTAAGAGAGAAAACTCCCAAACGTGGCGGGTTGAGAAGTCTTTATGTTTTACTCTTGGAGCCTCCTCTTTTCCATTTTTCCTCAAGAGCAAAGATAATGCCTTATACTTGAGAGATCACCCCAGGATGGGGTATATGGCTTTAATGAATCTTCGTTGATCGATTATTCGTGAAGGGTTATCAAGCGTGACACTGCGATGTCCATGTCTGACTGATTATTGGTAAAAGGTTATTAGGCATGGACGCCACAATGTCCATGTTTAGCTATCAGGGACACACTCCGGCCCTCTCCCCTGAAGGCCGGCACCCTCAGACAACCGGAACTGTTACCAGCCTCCCTGTGCCCACTCGCTAATGCCAGTTTTCAGCCGTTCGTAATTTGGGCTCCTCCTGAACCCCTTTTAGCTACACTCCCCTGGCACTCTCTCCCTCACTGAGGACTGGGCTTGTGGAAAGTTTCAGCTTTGGGAGTTCGGCTCTGAGGAGTTAACGGGATGCCAAAAGAGAGGGGAATTAAAGGAAAACTCTCAAAATTGCTTCGAAAGTAAGAAATAGAAGGCATGGTTTCTCCAGTCCCCCACCTTCTGGCTGTGCCCCCTTCTACCTTCACTCTGCTCCAAAACAGTCAAGTAGAGGTTTGCTCAGATTTTCCACACAAAATCTCCACCTTTGGGAGGAGACCAAAGTCAGGATGGGCAGGCCTAGGGGAGATTCTGGACACAGCTCCCTCCGCGCAGGCTGCTTAGCTCCCACCATGTGGACTGCTCCTACCATTTGCTCAGAGCCTCTGTGGTCAGCTACTTGGTAACAGTAAGAACATGGCACTGGGGAGTCAGGAGGATTTGGGTTGACTCCAGCTTAGCTACAACCCAGCTGCATGACCTTGGGCCCGTCTCATCTCATTGAGATGCCTCCACCAGTGCCTAAGTTGTCTCATCCATAAAGCGGGTCCAGTAATTCCTGCCTCAAAGAGCTGTTTTGAGTGTCAGCAGAGATCATGGATGTGGAAGTACCTTTTTACTCTCTAAAGCTATGCTGTTTAATACAATCCAATGTTGTAGCCACGAGGTGTATGTAGCTATTTAGGATGAAATGGGTTAGAATTAAATATCATTTAAAATTCAGTTCCTCAGTTGCACTAGCCACATTTCAAGGGCTCAGTATCCCATGTGGCTCATGGCTACCATGTTGAACAGGAAGATATAGAACATGTCCATCATCACAGAAGGTTCTATTGGACAGCACTGCAAAGCCTTTTTTAAAAAAACCTGCCATAACCTCAGTGGCAGAGGCAAGAAGGCTTCTGAACCTTCCCACCGCAATCTTTTTTTTTTTTTTTTTCAGAGAAAGGCAATGTCAGCGCAGGCCCTGGTTAGACAGAGGGACCAAGCCCTGTGGTGCAGAGGCAGGGATGCTGTTAATACAGCCAGGCCCCTCTCTACTCCCATCCTCCCACCCCCAGGGAGAGCTGTGGTCATCAGCTCTCTCTCCTGGGCCCCACGGTCATCTGAGGATGACCTTCTCCCTCCATCTATGACCCATTAGATGATGCGCTGGCTTCAAGCGGGGGTGGCGCTTTTAAACCTGTGTCCTCCTCTGAGGCCTCCAGTACCATCCCCTCTTGTTTGGAAGATGAACTTCAGCTCCAGGTCAGACTCTGGGCTCAGCACCCCTACACCTGAAGCTCAGCTGCTTCCCCATTAAACCTCCATCTTTCCTAAAATTTGTGTCAGTGGGACACTAACAACCTACCCACTGAGCTACCCGATTCCTCCCTC